TTTATAGTTCACTTAGAGAATCAGTGAGCTAAGACATGAATGTACATTAAAAATGAAAGAGGAAACTATACATAAAATAGCCCAGTTTTTTCCCCAAACCCTTTCCAGTTATTTTTCAAATCTTCCTTTCACCTCTTGAGGGAATTAAAGTGGGAGCAGGGACAGCAGAGGGGAAGGAGGATGGCTGTGTGTTCATGACACAGGATTGTGGTAGAAGGAGAACCAGCATCTGTAATGAGAAAACCTCCATTTCCCACACCAGTTTGGTAGCTGTATGGTTTTGAATCATAACACCCCTCTGTGTGCTTTATCTGTAAAATATAGGCAATTAAGATTTAAAAAAAAAACATCATTTAAAAGAAATTGTTTTAAAGAAAATTCAATGAGTTGTTTTAAAAGGATTCACTTTAAGACTCTAGTTATGCACTCTGTGGAAATAAGGGTCTGAAGAACTGTGCCAAGTCATAAATAGAGACTTCATTCCTGCGTTTACCATAGACATGGCATAGCTTACTCGAAGCAAATGACAGATGAGTAGAAAGTGCACAGACATTCTGGCAACCGTGACATCCTGTTATAAAGCAGCAGCCCCAAGGAGCAATCAGAAGCCTCATATCAATCCAAACATCTTAATAAATGTCACAGCTTTATGACAACAAGAAAGAGTCGCTACCTTGTCATTTGAGGAAGAAGGGGAAATAGGAAAACATACATGATCTACTCATTTGTGCAAAAGCACAGAAGAATAAATCAATGAGATTGGCAATGTGATGGAACGGGAATAGAAAGGATGAAAGTGGAGTGATCACTTCTCTGAGTACATCTTCTTGCAAAATTCTGACTTTGGAATTATGTTACTGCTTTGTGTACTCAACAAATAAACAAAGTATTACAATTTCTTTAAAAGGGTGTCAGCAAACCAGATCGCAGCAGAACAAAAAGTGCCACTACCCCAGGTGAGTCAAAGCCTCGGGACCAGCCCTGGGGCATCCTGAGACTGCCCCCAGCCAAACAAGGCAGATTCATTTACCCAACAAGCCCACCCTGGACACCTAGGGACACAGCTGGTTACTAGGGACACAGCTCTGACAACAGCCCCAGAGTCCCACCTAGTCTAATGGGAACCTGCACTCAGGTTACAGACCTTAGAGACTTTTGGTTTCCTGCGAGTTCCCAGGACCTCAGTGCCTGTGGGGTACGCAGTTTTAAAGAAGAAATCTTTGAGTTTTAGGAGAGTCTGAAAGAAATGGGGGAGGGAGGAACTCTGTTAACCACAAAAAAAAAAAAATACTGTGCACAAATTCCATATGATTGTGCAAGCATCACACCGCACGGGAATAATTTAAAATCTGTCTCCTGGGCAAGAATGGGATAGGAGAAAAGGGCGGAGGCCCCTCCCTTCCTCCTTGTTCCGGCACTGGAAGCACTGTTTGTGGACCGAGCACTGGTGTAAGTGTGAGCTGAGTGGAGTGAGGCAGGCCCATCGCCTCTCATTTTAAGAACGGAGGTGAGGACACTCCACTCAGGAACAAGAAACGACCCTCCCCCCCCCCCCCGTCCCCGCTGCCACACACACACACACACACACACACACACACACACACACACACACCTGCCACCACACAGTTTGGGCTGCACCAAGTCCTGCCTGAGTATCCTGGACTCCCAGCTTTTCTGCTTGAACCCCCAGACTCGCTTCTCTCAGGACCTCCTGGACACCCAAGCTTTGGCCAGTTGCAAGGGCTCACCTCACAGCAGGGGGCAGTCCCCAGTGTGGCTGCGATTGACTAGGAGATTGACTAGGAAGAGGCCAGATCAGCAGCTCTGGTCCCTCTCTCCAGCGGGTGGCTCTCAGCGAGCCCTGCGCTGAAAGGGGAGGAAAATGTGTGTATTGGGGGGGGGGGGGGCGGGGAGTCTCCAGGAGGGCCGGTCCTAGACTGAGGAGAAAGCGCCCCAGAAACCAGGACCCAGTGCAGCTTGCTTGGCCTCTCTTCCTGCGAGGTTGGGCAAGTGGGAATTGAGCACCTCTTTCCAGATGTGCCCCCGCGCTCCAGATGTGCCCCCCCCCCGCCCCTGCTGCCCCAGCGCCTGAACTCAGATCGCTCTTTGCCTAAGGGAGATCCGCGTTTGCATCGCTTGAGAGGGGTTAGAAATTACTTTTTGTCCAAAATCTCATTTGATCTTTGCAGCAAGGCAGGATTTGGACTTAGGGTTTCTGATGCCAAGTCTCTCCCAAAGTGTCCTTCCTTCTGTGACTTCATAGAGCAACAGAATTCCACTATAGAGTGGGCGCTGGCTTTGTTCCAGCTTACTGTTTGAATCTGGGGTCACCCGAGCCCAGCGTGGAAGGTAAGGACCAGCTGAGTGACTGGTGCGGAAAGGCCTAGCGCCTGCTCTCCTGTTCGTGTCCCCTCTCCCCCCATGGAAAGGCCCTAAATTCACATTCTCTCCCGTGTGTGTGTGTGTGGGGGGGGGGGGGAGGATTGTAAATATCCACTTTAGCCTGAAACTGAGAAGAGAAGGAGGAGGAGGAGTAGAAGAAGGAGGGGGTGGAGGAGGAGAAGAAGGAGGAGTTTTTGTTGTTGTTGTTCGTTTGTTTGTTTGTTTGAAATCCTGGAATGTCTTTTGAGCATTAAAACTGTAATTAGTTAATGTTTGTTTTACATATTTATTCCGAGGAAATAATCCGGAATGTTGACAAGGATAAAATCAGAGACACTCCCTGAGTCTTACAGTGTCAAAAAAAAAAAAAAAATAGGTATAGTGGATATAGTGTAACACAGTCTATTATGGTTCATCTGTAACATGAACTATTATATTGCCCTTTTAAGATAGATTTGTAAAAACTCTAATAAAGTTCAGGACATGCTTATGCTGTAACTTTAAAATTTACAAACTCCCATGTACACATACATGTAAAAACATAGAGAAGAAGTGCACCTAAACATTAGGTCTGGAGGGACCCTTGTTTTCTTTCCAACTTTTCTTTATTTTCCAAAGTGTGCATGACTTTTATCATTAGAAACAAATTAAATAAATCTATGGGTCATTGCAAGATTTTGACATCTCTGAAGACAAAACAATGTCCCTTCCAGAAAAAAAAAAAAAAAAAAAAAAAAAAAGAGGGGTACTGTTTGGACAAAACCAGAGCTGGGCCACCCTCACCTTGCCAAGCTGGACAGCCCCTTAACCTCTCTGATCGCTATTCTTTGGTGGAAAGGGAAAAAAAGAAGCTAGAACTTGAAAAATAGCTTTGATGTAAAGATTAAATGACACGATGTACAAGAAATTATTACTGGTTTGGCTCAGTGGTAGAGCGTCAATCTGCAGACTGAAAGGTCCCAGGTTCGATTCCGGTCAAGGGCATGTACATTGGTTGTGGGCACATCCCCGGTGGGGGGTGTGTAGGAGGCGGCTGGGCTGGTTGATGTTTCTCTCTCATTGACATTTCTAGCTCTCTATCTCTCTTTCTTCCTCTCTGTAAAAAATCAATAAAATATATTATAAAAAAATCATTACTTGGCTAAACCATCCAATTTGCTGAAATTTTATGTAAAAATTTTTGCACCCACCAGCCTGCGCAGATGAGCCCAGTTCATCTGCATTTCAGTCAATCATAACACCCATTTCTTGCATTTGCCTCAAAAGGTTTATTTAAAAACAAAAACAAAACATTTGATCTAAAATCCCCAAAAGAACCCTAGTGAGATTTCATTTTGATTTTAAAATATTTTTAAGCGACTTAGATTGTGCTAAGACTGCTGCCTTCACTGAACCATGTCTTGTCAGAAATTACAGCAGGACACTCTTTGATGGTTTCATAGTTATCACAATCATCCTCTGATGGGCATATTGTTATCTCCAGTTTTAATTAATCAAAGCTTAGAGAGACATACGTTGCCCAAAGCCCACAATTCATACATACAGAGCAAGGCCAGACTAGTTGGCTCCACCTTGGCGGTGATAACCACTGCACCACACGGCCTCCTTTGCTGGGCACTGCTGTGTCCAGGGAGCATTCCTGAAGAGCTAATGCTCATCAAAACTCCCCAACCCTGGAGGGCGCCACGTTCACATTCACCTGAGCACCAAGGAAATCCATTTTAGGGAGCATAAGGAGGGTGGAGGGGTATGGAGGGCCCACCTTCGAGAGGGCCCGGGTTGACCTCCTCTCTACCCACTCCTCCCCGCCTGCTCAGAGCCTGGGGATCCCCCAAAAAAAGCTCCCTTGCCCTTTTCTTCGCTCTGGGGTTGACATGCTCCACCGTGAAGTGGCGGATCCGGCTCTACGCGAGGCGTTTCCACCTCGGTCTAAGGGTCTAGGCCGCGGTGGTCCAGACGCGCTCCTCCCGCGTCCAATCTCTGCTCCCGGGAAGGAGCCCCGCAGCTCTCACCGCTGTGCGCCCACGAAGACGCCCGAGGGTACCTCCCTCCGCGGTGCCCGGCCCGGCGGTCCCCACCTGAGCTCCTCGGCCTCGGGAGTGGAGCGTTCAGCGATCGCCAGGCCGGAAGGACCGGCTCGGGTTGCAAAGCGAGGGCTCCATTCCCCATCCGTGCGCGTCCTCCCGGAGAATCCCGGACCCCGGGCTGACCTCCGACGTTCCTTCGCGCCGGTACCGTATTTACCGGGATCCGGGCGTCGCGCAGCACCATCTCCTCCGCTTCCCTGGCTGCTGAGCAGCATCCCCAGGAGCCAAGCCTCCCCAGACAGCGGCCGGGCCTGCAGGGGAGTTAGAAGGGCGCGGGAGGACAGCGCCGGGGAGGACGGGGCTGCCGGGGGAGCACGTGGTTTGCACAGGAACCAATGGGGGTGGCCAGGCTCGCCCCTCAGCCCTGGTCACCGGCCACAGGGATGGCCCTGGCGGAGGCGCAGTCCGGGGCGCCAGGCGTCCGCCCCACACCCGGGGTCCGCGGCGCCAGAGCCGCCAGGCGGGGAGCTCGGGGCGCTGCCTCCCGCGGGGGGACCGGGGCGCGCAGGCCCCTCTCCCTCCGCCTCCGGGATGCTGCAGAACCCCGGCACCTCCACGCCCTTCTCCGTGGACGACATCCTGCGGCTGGAGCGGGAGCAGATTGGCCTCGCGGCCTTGCAGCTCCAGGAGGCCCGGGGGAGCCCCGAAAGCTCTCAGTATCTGCAACTGGTCCCGGACCCGCGAGGATCGGAGGACATTCTCAGCTCTGGAGAGAGGTGGCTGGACCGGCCGGAGCCTCCAGGGGATCCCAGTGAGCGCGTCGCAGACATGGACGCGGAGCGGGTGGGTGAGTACACCCCCGGGGCTGGACACCCACGGGGAGGTCAGGAGGGTGGGGGTGGACCAGGATCAGCTGGACACGCATCTCCCGGTCCCCCCAGGGCCGAGGGCCTGCCTTCTCCCCCTTCACCTATGAGTCCAAAAGGCAGGTCCTGAGTCACGGAGCCGCCTCCTGCCCGATCCCTCGGATAGGAAATAAGGCCCTGAATCCTAGGGGTTTGCTGTTTCCACAGCGAGTCCTCAAGTTCGTATTCCCATAAACACCCCACCCCACTTGCAGCCACGGCCCAGGGCCGCCAGCTTCTCTCCCTTCCACGGAACCTGCTCTATAGTCTTGGCTGCGCTGCGTCCCCTCCCGCTTCTCCTGCCACCCGGGCCTCTCCACCAGAACCCATCTGCCCAGGGGCAGCCTGCAGGGTGGGGCGCGTGGGGAGAGGACACTGACAGCTGCGGGTCCGACCCAGGCCGGCCTTCCCCGGGGACTTGCTGAGAGGCCGGACCGGCCCAGCCAACCCTCTGCCCGGTGCCTCCACAACAAAGTGAGAGAGAGAGGTGGCGGTCAAACCAGGTCCGAGTCCCTGGCAGGATTTGGTGGGAGCCCTGCGGGTCTGCGGGGTCTGGGAGCGAGGTAAGGGGAAGGCAGCTTGGGGAAGGCAGCTTGGGTTAGAGCAGCTTGGGTTTGAGCTGCTTCGAGAAGCCTCTCTGCCGAGCCACAGCGCAGTTTGGGCTCCCGCTCTGCCTCCGAAGGCGCCACCGATGCGCGGACAGCGAGACCCAGACCCTTTGTCCCGCCGCACGAAGGGCAGAGGCGGGCGGGAAGCTGTGTTACACTGACTTGTGCCCGACGCCACATTCTGAGGGAAGAAAACGCCACCTTCCCTCCCGTCCAACCTCTGCTCCTGGGTCCGCAGCCTCCGTGCAGGTTTGGGGACCGCCTCGCAGGTCAGTCCCCTCCGCCTGGCTGTGCCACGGCCCCTCCGTTCGGGGCGCAAACTGGCCACGTAAAGACAGAGGCCAGCTCTGAGCGATTCGGAGGAGATTACACTTCGCTCTGTTTGCCAAGAAGCCGGGGGTTTCCTGCAGCGGATTGTAAACACGGAGTGCCCTCCACTCCTCTGCCCGCTAGCCATGCGCTCCTGCTCCGGGGAGACAGGGCCACACTCCTCCGACCTCCGCGCTCCCCTCACAGCCCAGGCTCCGCAGCGAGTTCCTAGCTCCCCGCGGGAGAGGGACCCTCCTGGTGGCCTGGGCGCGCCCCGTCCATCCCCAGCTAACCCACCTGGCTTCCAGGGACGTAGGGCACGGGGTGGGAGAGGTTCCGGACTGGAACCGAAGGACAAGGGGCGCTGGCACACCCGGGGTGCCATGCAACCCCTCAGCCTGCCTGCGTGGTCAGAAACTTTCCAATGGGGTCCTGTTTGTTTCAGTCACTGAAGGTCAGTTGTTACTTTTTTATTTGGTAACAAAACAAACCCTCGTCAATATATATATATATGTTATATATATTATATATTATATATTATATATTATATATTATATATTATATATTATATATTATATATTATATATTATATATTATATATTATATATATATTTCTTTTTTCGAGGAGAGATGTCCTGGGGTTTCTCTGAGTACAGGCTTCTCTGCAGGAAGTTTTTATTTCTGCAAACGTTGAGTCCCCAGCAGGAGTGGGGCCAGCTCGGTTGGTTAGGGTTGTGGAGTCCAGTTCGAACACGCACCAGGTCTGAGGAGGCCCAGGTCCCTGCTCCCAGAGCTCGCCTCTCCTCTATGTTCCTGGTTTATTCTTGGCCTGAGTTTCCACGGAAACTCTCGTTTCATCTCTACTCACCTTCCCTTCAGTAAAATCAGCGCTTAAGCCCAGGCAGCAGAGAGATGGGAAGAAGGCAGGGAGGCTGCGACTGGGCAGTGGGAGGCCGCTCGGGGACATAGCCCTGTTCTAACCCACTCCGTTGGTGCCCACTTCGTGTGCCCTGGCCAGGGTGCTGCCCAGGAGGGGGAAGAAACGGGGCAAAGCCACCCACTTGCGGCAGACCCTCCAGGAGAAATAGGCCGCTTAAAAAAAAAAGTCATAGATGTGGATCTCAACTTTACACATACCTCCGAGAGAATTTCAGTTTCTCAACCAAGAGCAGAATCAGAAAATACGTTGTTTTATTTTATTTTGTTAATTTGGATTACGGAGCCTTGCCTCCCAGAAACACGAGGATGGTCCGCAGTGCCGGTGACTTGACCAAAATGGCAAGGGTGTATGCCAGGGCGGGTGAGGGTGGTGGGCACTGGACGCTCCCAGGTGGGAGCAGGGTGGGTAACAGAGGAGAGGAGCCTCTGGCAGGCACTGGCAGGCACGTCACCGAGTCCCTCAGTCTCTGACCCCACCTTTCTCTTTACCCTCCCCATCCCCTTCCTCTCTCTTTCCACCAAGGTCTGTCCAAAGTCAACCCGCTTCTGATAAGTCCCTTCCTTATTCACTCTGGATTTTTTCAGCAAGTTTCCTCAAACTCAAACACACTTTAGAACAGAAATCGCAGCAAGCCGCCTCTACCTCCACCACCACCAGTAATAATAATAATAATAATAATAATAATAATAATAATAATAAAATGAAACAAAATAAAAAGACATTCTAAAAGGAAAACGAAGCTGTCTTAGACAGTCCACCTTTTGGGAAACGGCTGTACCCCTGGGACCACAGATTGTCCCAGTTTGCTTATGTTCCAGCAGGTACCAAAGCGACTGGCGGGGAGGGGTAGGGGGAATGAACCTTCAGACGGCCTCTGGCGGGAGTGGGATGTCCGCAGAGAGGAGAATAGGGGCTGGAACTACGGACTGCCCAGGGAGAGGGGCGTCCCCTGCAAACCGTGCAGGCACTGCTGGGTGAGCCTGGGGCAGGGCGCTGACGGTGTTCCCTCCTGTGCTTTCAGAGCCCGGCCTGCGCGCAGCCTCACCCCCCGGCGGCGGGCCCCGGGGACCGGAGCGCGGCGGCGGCGGCGGCGGCGGCGGCGGCGGCGGCGGTGACCGGGCACGCGGGGCGGGCGCCGGGCAGGCGCGGGCGCGGCGGCGGCGGCGGCCGCGGGTGCTGTTCTCGCAGGCGCAGGTGCTGGCGCTGGAGCGGCGCTTCAAGCAGCAGCGCTACCTGTCGGCGCCGGAGCGCGAGCACCTGGCCAGCGCGCTGCAGCTCACGTCCACGCAGGTGAAGATCTGGTTCCAGAACCGGCGCTACAAGTGCAAGCGGCAGCGGCAGGACAAGTCCCTGGAGCTGGCGGGCCACCCGCTGGCGCCGCGCCGGGTAGCGGTGCCTGTGCTGGTGCGGGACGGCAGGCCCTGCCTGGGCCCCGGCGCGCCCGCCTTCCCGGGCCCCTACGCCCCCGCCGCTGCGCCCTACGCCTGCTACGGCGGCTACGCGGGCGGAGCGCCCTACGCGGCGGGCTTTGGCGGGGGCTACGCGGGAGCGCCTCCGGGCCCCGCTCCGCCCGCGCCCCTGGCCTGCCTGGGCCTCGGCGGGGGTGGCCAGGGCGGCAGCACGCAGGGCACTCTGCCCGCCCCGCTGCAGGGGGTCCCGGCCTGGTGAGGCGCCCTGGCCCCGGCACACCCACCGAGGCCGGGCGGAGGCTCCGTCCAGCTGCCCTCCGCCTAACGGTCTCAGCGGAGAAGATGGGCTGCCGCGCTGGAGGGAAGAGGCAACCCGAATGGAGCTCCCGGCTACAGCGATATCGGGGACACTGGCTCGCCCCCAGGAGCTTGGGCCTGAAGGCCCTGGGAGCGTTCTTCCCGCTCAGAGACAGACGAACGCGGGCCGGAGGAGGAGAGCAAGGGTGGGGGGCAGTTTGGGGCGGCAGGGCCCAGCTAAGGAAGGTGTCTTCGGGGCTGGAAGGTGGTTTATGTGCTGCAACCTGGGCATTCGGAGGGCCTGGATCCCCCAGTGAAGGGCAGCAGTTGGGGGAAGAATGAGAAAGTTGAGCGAAGGAAAGGGAGTGGGGAGCCAGCCAGGAAAAGGAGAACCCAGGGGATCAGGAAGAGAGGCTCCTGTAGGATTTAAGCCCCCTCCCCCCACACCCCTATCCCCTACCCCCACCTCCTTCCCCAGCTGCGCTCCTAGAGACTCCTTCCCCAGCTGCGCTCCTAGAGATTTATGCAGTGGAGCGCTCTTTTCTGGGGAGCATCCTCCGGCTCTTCCCTCCGTGTCAGTGCGTTTCTCTCTTGTATACAGCTCAGCATCTTGAGGAAATACATGAAATATATTCGTGTTCGCGTGTGTGTAAGCCATTAGCATCTATCCACCTCTGAACAACTTGGAATTGAAGTAAAAATGAAACCCCCAAGTCCTTGGTGCCTACAGACTCCCTGGGGACCAAACTGGAGTTGGCCCTGGAGCCAGGTGCCCTGAGGCCCCCCTCCCGCCGCCTCCGCCTCCGCAGGTTTTCTTCCAGACCAACAGGTTTCCACGTTCCAACCGGGAAGGAGGCTCCCCTTGGCCTTGAGTCCTCACAGGAAGGGTGGGGAACCTGAACTTTAGGGGAAAGTCCGACTCCTCTGGACCCAACCCTGTCTGAAGTCATGCAAACTGAAGACTACAAACACGCTAAATGTATTCATGGGGACATTTGTCTTTGGCAGGCACTCGTACGAAAAGCAGGATTTTTTTTTTTTTAAATAACATCTTTAGCCAATGAAAACTCTGGTTCTTCATCCCCCGGACCACTAACTTGTCAAAAGTTAAAGTGTATTATTTAATAAATTCTGAGGTTTAATTAAAACGCAACGGCCCTGCATTTTCTCACTTATGAATGTGCCTGGTTGTTTTTACTGACCTGGGAAAGAGACACCGCTGTGTCCCTTGTAAGCGATACCTATTTCACATAGCATGCACCTCTTAAAGTTTATATGTTTAAGCTAAAAAAAAAAAAAAACCACGAATAATTGTTTATATTTTTTCTTACCATTTCCTTACATTTCCCCCTTCTTTTTATTTTTTCTCTTTTCAGGATTACATCCCCCCCCCCAAGATTCTAAAAATGCTGCATACAGTATTAAGTTTTGAAAAAATATTTTGTTGCCCTTTAGGTAAAAGGCCCTTACCCTAGACATGCAGGTCACGGATCCTACTTGGCACCGAGTAGGAAATTAATGCATTTCCTCCACCCGCCCACCCTTTCTCACCTAGTTAAGGAACCCAGAAGCAGTGACCAGACGGTGTTGTGTCCAGGCCTCCACACTCCCTCCACCACCTTTGCCCACATGAAAAGCTGGGAGGAGGAGCCATAGCTGGGCTCAAGGCTGTGAGTGATGGAGAAGAGGCTTAGTCCAGTCATCAGTAACTCAGTCATCACTGAACATGTCTGCCAGGGACACAAGAGGCAACAAGATTTGGCTGCCGCCCTGAAGGAATCTATTATCTAATTGGATACCAGAGACTGACATGAGAAAGGTATCTAAAAATACTAGGTGGTGTATGCTGCCTGTCAAACAGGACAGACAATAAGCTCTCCAGAAAGAAAGAAAACCTGGCAGGAGCTGGGGTGCTTAGAAGGCGGGAAGAGGGGTAAGCCTGGTGATGAGGATGGGAACAGCATCATTTCCTAGAAAAGTTCTGGGAAAGGTCTAGGACTTGGGGGTGGAGAAAAGTTGTTGTATTTTTTTTTAAATACGTTTTTACTAATTTCAGAGAGGAAGGAGAGGGAGAGATAGAAACATTAATGATGAGAGGGAACCACTGACCAGCTGCCTCCTACACACCCCCTTTCCCCCTTCCACTGGGGATTGAGCCTGCAATCCGTTCATGTGCCCTTGCCCCTTGCTGGGAATCAAACCCAGGACCCTTCAGTCCGCGGGCACATACTCTATCCACGGAACCAAAGAGGCTAGGGCTAAATGAGCACATGCTGAAGCCAGAGTGTATTTTATGGTAATTCCAATACAATTGCAGGTAGCTTTGGGGAATTAGTAAATTTAATTGACTGAAGAGATGGGTGAGGCTTGAGGAGTTATTGATTTCACATCTCTGTGTGTACGCCTATGATTCCTTTAAATGTTCCATTGGCCTGCGACATTGTCTGTTCCTCTCTCCAGATTATTGTAGCATCCATATTTGATGGTCTAAACAAAACAAAACCAAATAAACCTATACCAAGCCTTGTCCATGTGCACTCCATGTGGATATTTCTTGAGGGAAGTTTGAGATCCGCAGGACAAAAGGAAAGAAAAGAGAAGGAACACTCTCTTCTTCCCTTCTCTCTCCTCCCTCCCCCCCCCCTTCCGCCTGTCAGGATCACTTTGAAATGCATTCCCTCTCCCCACTCTCAAGCCCACCCCCAGCTGCCCATCTTCCGTCCTGTAATCTCTCCTCTGCACTGAAAGCTGCCCCTTTTTGTGTGTGTCTCTTGGACCACCGCTTATCCCAGGCACGGCTTTCACCAGGCTCTGTAAGCCATCAGCCTCTTATCTGCATCGTTCAGTCCCATCACTCCAGTCACCTCTTAATGTTCACAAGTTCCCCAAATGGGAAGTAATTGACCTCTAAACAAAACAAAAAAAGCTCTCAGGGAGATAGCAGAGGTTCCTTTCCTGACGTCCCAGGGCTAGGGGTCTCACCTAGGCCAGGTGGATAAGTCAATAAAATTGCAGACTTTGTGGCTCCCTGTCCTTCCTCCACTCCCCCTGCCCCCCACCCCTCAGCCCCTTCAAGCCAGCCTCATCCCGATACCATCTGCAATTCAGATGGAGCTCAAGCCCCGCTCTAGGTTTCAGAAGCACCAGAGATTTCTGGTATTTATTTTTTTGTAATTTTATCATCATCGTGATGTAACTTTGGGAGGGACACACACACTTAAAACTTTTAAAATTCCATTTGAAACGTGTTTACAGTTCTGAGTTTACAGCAGCTCTTTATCATATCAGCCCAGTAGCTCACCCCTTTTCCTTTTCACAAAACAAGGGAACTCCCAGGCAGAAACACTGAGTCCCAGCCTATCACTGTCCCTTAAAGAGGCCTCTTCGGAGAGATGGAAGGTGGTGAAGGAATACGGAATTGGGAGCCCTGGACCTCATTCTAGCCCAGGACCCACTAGGGACACACTATGTGACCTTGAGCAAGACTTGTAATCTCTCTGGGTTTCATTCTTGACTTACAAAATTGAGGAAGTGGGTCTCTAAGCTATTACTCTAATATTTTTTAAAGAATATGTGTTTTACTGATTTCAGAGAGAAGAAGGGAGAGGGAAAGAGAGATAGAAATATCAGTGATGAGAGAGAATCATCGATCAGCTGCCTCCCGCATGCCTCCCACAACCCAGGCATGTGCCCTGACCAGAATCCAACCACAACCTCCTGGTTCATAGATTGATGCACAACCACTGAGCAACACTGGCCGGGATATTATTCTAATTTTTTTGCTGACTCCCTGTTGATTTCAAATGCCTTTATTTAAAAAAAAAAAAAAAAAAGTAAAATAGATTATATATCCACAGGACTACATTAAACATATGTAAGGTTTAGCCGAAATCGGTTTGGCTCAGTGGTAGAGGGTCAGTCTGCGGACTGAAAGGTCCCAGGTTCGATTCTGATCAAGGGCATGTACATTGGTTGCGGACACATCCCCGGTAGGGGGTGTGCAAGAGGCATCTGGTCACTGTTTCTCTCTCATCGACATTTCTAGCTCTCTATCCCTCTCTCCTCCTCTCTGTAAAAAATCAATAAAATATATTTTTAAACATATGTAAGGTTTAAAGTATAATGGTAGAGTGGACATAGCTGTAACCCCTTCTCAAGGCCAGAAACAAGGGTTCAGCCTCCAGCACCCCCTCCCCATGCTCTTCCCAGAATGCAAACCCCTTCTCCCTTCCTTCCACCCAAAAGATACCAGTTATTCTGACTTCGGAAATCATCACTTATGGGCTTCTTTTTATGGATTTACTCCTTTGAACACATCCTCCAACGATATGGCTTAACTTTGCCTGATTGTGAATGTTACATAAATAGAATCTTACCACGTGTATTCTTTCATAACTTGCTTCTTTTGTTACATTTTGTGAGATTTACCCAGGTGGTTGTGTGGAGCATTCCTTTACTCGTTTTCATTGCTACATTGCGCCCACTGAAGGCATGCGCCTCAGTGTATGTATTCACTGAAAATGCAGGCAGTTCCCAGCTTTCCCACAGGTACACTGCATTCTCTGGCTGCATTTGTCCTGGTCTCCATGAACCAACTTCCAGGGAAGGCTCCATCCTCGGACAGATTTCCATTTATACAACTAACTAGAGGCTTAGTGCATGGATTCATGCACCTGTGGGGTCCTTCGGCCTGGCCTGTGCCCTCTTGCAATCTGGGACCCCTCGGGGGATATCGGAGAGCTGGTTTCAACCTATTTTCCTGCAGGCTAGGTTGAGAGACTCCACCTGTACACAAATCCATGCACCGGGTCTCTAGTATCCATATAAGATCTTTGGTTAATTTCTTCCCACCTTCCCCTTTCCCTGCTTCCCTCTGAGATTCATCAGTCTCTTCTAGGTTTCCATGCCTGTGCATTGAGCATCTGCCCCCTGGTGGTCAGTGTGCATCATAGCTACTAGTTA